AAACCCCTATGGGACCCCCATGTCAAAAGTATCATACAGAGATTGTTATAGAAAGCATAAGATAGTTTTATGAAAAACAGACAAAACAAAAACAAAAACCAAATCCTAGAGCTAAAGCGAAAAGGGGAAAATACCTTGTATTCGCCTAAAAGTTATGGGAAGAGTACAAAAGAACATTTGAGGGCAGCATCACTGTGGAGGGTGAGGACCACCGGCCTGCAGGTGGTCCTGAGGAGCAGACATGGTCTGAATCCCCCATAAACCACTTAAACTTGTGTGATATTTGGACCATCCCAAGCCTCAGTTTCCCCATCTGTAAAAGGATGATGGACCCTGTTAGTGGGGCTCTGAGGAGGAAAAGGGATATGACAGGTAAAGCGCATGACAGTCTTGTCCCATGAATGTTAACAGAGCCCCTGAGTGTGACGTGTGAGTGGGAACAGAGCAGATGTGGCGTTAGATGGTATGAATGGAGTGCGGGTCCACCTGCCTCGGACAGTGTGGTTAGCTTAAGCGGGGAGCCTCCACTTCCAGAGAACAAGTTATGGGACTTAGATGTGGTTGTCATCCTGGGCACTTGTGAACTGAGAAGGCGGTCAGGGTTTTCCCTGTGATGCGGAAGAGAGACCCCCGGTCTCAGTGGGGGGATCTGAACTGGCAGAAATGAGGAACACTAATTAGAGAGCATTCTATTCTGTTTTTAGGAAAAGTAGATATGTCCCACATACTTTTTATCTCACTGTAAATTTGGGATTAGAATTTAGACTCTGGATTTCAGTCTAAGACATCTTACTATGAAAATGAAAGAAAGATTTATTATTCTCTCCCCATCTTGCTACTCATACTAGTTTCTTATCCACAAATGCCTTCTCTTCCGCCTGGCCTTTTCCCCTATTTATAGCCATGTCTCAAACATAGTCTTCCAATTGTGGTACTTAAGATAAATGGGAAAATCATCTAGACCACAATCAATTCAATAAAAAGATAGAAAAAAATTAATTAATTCAATAAAAAGACAGAAATATTTGTATGTACTCCTGTCCAGCAGCCATATAACACTGCTATGTACATCAAAATTTCCTAGTGGGTATTCTTGTTCTCCTTATACTATTTCTTTGGGCCATATTTTTTAAAGTTTTCAATTTGAGTTTTTCAAAGAGCTTTCACCTTTTCATGTTTAAGACATAGCTTTAAAATCTTACAACATCGAATATTCTGTCTGCCAGCATTCTACAACCTGCATTAGAAAACCAGTGTTAATATGTACATATATATACAAACTGCACTAAAATTGACCTGGATTACTGTAATTTATACATTTTATTTTTGTATTTAAAGGAAAAGAGAACTTGAACTCATTTCATTTTACAGCCAGGAAATGGTCTAAATTATCTTAATTTCATTGTACTTTTAGAAGTTATTGGCTCAACCGGAACTAGAAACTACTCTTTGACTCCAGTATAGCCTGGGAAAGTAGACATTTGTAATTTGAAAAATACAAACAAAAATTAATTCCGAAAGGAAAGTAATCTACAAGTAGAACGCCTTTAAGCCATGAAATCAGCTAAGGACTCAAAGCCCCTTGGTGTTACTCTGCTAACCCATGGCTCATCTCTCCAGACCACCTTTCATGCATAGGCAGACTCTGGAAATGATTCATTGCCTACAGTGTTACAGCATCTGTTGTGCCTGGGGTACAATAAAGAATTCTTACGGAGACATATGTTATTTTACAAAAAACAGGATTGCACAGAATGCACTATTAGAGCTGGTCTGTGAATCGTTGTCCTCCGTCTGCAATCAGATAAGTGCAGAAATTGGCAGTAAGTACTTAGAAACGTTTATATCGATCTGGCATTGCCATGACATCCAGGCGTGTGACTGGTGTACAGGTCTCCTTGAATAGGATGTAGACCAGTTCCGAAGTTGCTGAATTCACCTTGGGGTTGTACGTGTTGTGAGCTGCAGACTATTCGTGCCCAGTAAGACCCTATATTGATCTGCAATAGATCAAAACAGACAAACAAATAAACATGTCTCCTTTACCACTAATGGGCTGAGAGGCATTGATATCAAACGTAGTCTTTGAAACCTGTTTCTTTTACACAACATGTTGTGAGTATCACTCATTTCAGTAACTATGTCGATAAACCTTATTTTTGGTGAATGTGTTATCCTTCAGTTTTTAAGTTGGATTAATTGAGAGGTCACTCAAGTTTTAATCGGTGCCTGCAAATCTCCTAAGACTGTCTCTTCCCATTTGAAGATGGCATTACTGTGATTTATGTACAATGGTACTAAGAGTCAGAAACAGTGGATCGCTTTTGAATGCTTTGCCCAGGGGGACCACTCTCACACTATAGAAGGTACCTCTTCACTAAAAGACAATTTCATCCAGAATGAGGTCCAGCAGCAGAAACTTCTGGGCAATATTTTAGCAATTAATAGCATAGTGGCCTCTTCACCGAGACTTTCACAAATCCCCAAAGTAATAGATGTTTTAAGAGTTTTGGAGACCCACGGGGAATACTGTGTCTATTTGGGACTTCCCAGGCTACAATGACAGTAGCAGGATGACCACTGTTTTGCCCTCATACTCCTGTCCCCTTTCCTCTACCTGACATTCCTAATCAGCCATGGCCTAATTTCCACTCCACCTCAAAGTTACCCTCAACATGCTCTAGATGGCTCCTGACAGATGACAGGAGTGGGACGTAAGAAGAAACCCATTTACCATTCCTGCCCTAAACCATTTGTGATGAAAAGGTTTTCCAGAGAGGTAATGTGCTTCACCTTGCACTTGTTACAATGGCACAAGCATTGAAAGGAAAGTGGCAAAGGACTTGGTATTGTATATGTTCAAAGAGTAAAATACAAACTCTCAAATCTCTTAGGCTTGACTAGGTTTTTCTACTCTGTCAAAATTCAACTCTGGAATATTTTAGTGCTGTTTAGCATTTTCCTTCATGGCTACCGTCTTCTCCAAAGATGTCTTTAAGTCTAAGATCCTAGATGCTTCAAGTACAGAGAGCATCTATTTCCAAAGGATAATAGTATTTGTAATATTTGTTCCCCAAACCAGAAACTTTCCTCTAGGCAAGTCCAAATTGTAATCAACTAGTGAGAGGATGGATCAGTGAAACAAATGAACATTGGTCAGTCTAAATCAATGTTAGGGTCCAGAGTTCTGCCATATAATAATGGAAGTGCTCTGTGCTTTTTTTTTCACTACGTTCACATACTAAGGTAAAAAATAGCTACTCCGTGCCTAATAAGGTAAGAATGAGAGCATTTCAAATACTCTTACCCATTTGTTAAAAAACAAAAAAGAAAATATGATTCCTAGTTTTTCCCCTTAGACCTGAGCACAGGCCACGATTCACTTGCCAAATTTTCTCTCAGCAGATTGTTTTCAAAAGTTTTATTTCTAGATTTATTACAGTATTCCCAAGGAAACTAATCTTTTTTTGTGCTTTACAAACAGCACAAATGTCATTATGACGTATTTTGGTAACTCAGTATGTGGTGAATAAACCCTAATACCTGGTATATCCATTCCTAAATGAGAGAAAAAAAAATACCAACTATAATATTTTAGATGAATAAACCCAAACAATTACCTTTTCAAAAAGAGTTAAAGTCAGTATGCTTTACAAAAGCTAAACGTTGTGGGCCAGTAGACTTTTATTGTTCTTACTCAACAATCATTTATTGGTCACTATGTCTGGACCAGCTCTGTCCAACAGAAATTCCTGTGGTGATGGAAATATTCTGAATGGACATAGTCCAATATGGTAGCCACCAGCCACATGTGGTGATTGAGCACTTGAAACGTGGCTCAGGAGAAACACAGTATTTCATTTCACTTAATTTTAATTAATTTAAATTTAAATAGTCACATGTGGCTAATGGTACCTTACTGGATAGTGCAGATATAGAATAGATATCAATGTTTTAAGATGAACATGATTTGGCTTTTCTCCCAAAAATCTACAGAGTAATGGGAAAAATAAAATGCATACATAATTTTACATAAAAATCCTGATCAAATTTATATGGAACTTAATAATAAGATAAACGTTATATGGAAGAAAAAAGCCCCCAAATTGCCAAGATAACTCTGAACAGGAGGAGGGTGAGGGGAGAGAAGAGGTGAGACTTGTCCTTCCAGATACTAAGAATCATCATAGAATTATCATGATTAATAGTAAAATATTGTCACGGAGATAGACAAATAAGCAGTAGAACAGCAGTAGAACAGACAGCCCAGAAGCCTATTTGTGCAGGATTTTTTGTTTCTTTTTGGCAAGATGCAAAAAGCAGAAGCTATAAAGAAAAATGATACATTTTACTATCGGAATTTGAACTTTTTGTAGTCACCAAGACAACATAAATAGTTAAAAGACAAGCCACAGACTAAGGAGATAGAACATATACAGCTGACAAAGGAGCAGAATAAACACATATACAAATAACTTCCCAAAACTTCAGTAAGAAAAAACAAGTAACAAAGAGAACACAGGCAGAGGATATGAGAGGGTGATTCGCAAGAGATGAATCTGAAAGATGAATACATGTCAAATGTGCTCAGTTACAGGAAATGAGCTAGATCCATATTTTTCAAGGCTAATAGGTCTCAAAAATATAATGTGGGGACTTCCCTGGTGGCGCAGTGGTTAAGAATCCACCTGCCAATGCAGGGGACATGGGTTCGATCCCTGGTCTGGGAAGATCCCACATGCCGCAGAGCAACTAAGCCCGTGAGCCACAACTACTGAGCCCACATGCTACAGCTACTGAAGCCCGCGTGCCTAGAGCCCGTGCTCTGCAACAAGAGAAGCCACCGCAATGAGAAGCCCGCGCACTGCAACAAAGACCCAACATAGCCAAAAATAAATAAATTCATTAAAAAATATATATATATATATATAATGTGGAGGAGGTAAGAGCGGTGAGATGAGGAGCATAATGTAGGCCTCGGGAAGGGGGACTGAGGGAAAATGAGGGAACTTGGAAGACTAGGTCATTTACTAAGATTGACAGGTGTGACTTTCAGTTTGCAGGATTGGGGAGAGTATAGCAAATCTGAAAAAGCCACCAATGCATGTGACTCAGTGAATAATGAATAAGGAGATTGCTAAGCAATAATGAAGACTCAATTAATGCTACAAGAATACTGCATACATAAAATATGAAGATAGGGCTTCCCTGGTGGCGCAGTGGTTGAGAGTCCGCCTGCCGATGCAGGGGACACGGGTTCGTGCCCCGGTCCGGGAGGATCCCACATGCCGCTTAGCGGCTGGGCCCGTGAGCCATGGCCGCTGAGCCTGCGCGTCCGGAGCCTGTGCTCCGCAACGGGAGATGCCACAGCAGTGAGAGGCCCGCGTACAGCAAAAAAAAAGAAGATAATATTTGAGATTCTTCCACGGGGGCCATGAATTCACTTTTAGTATTTATTTTGTTTTGTTGTTGTTGTTTGATTTGTATCTTTAGGAGGAGAGGACTGAGGAGCAACTGTGCTTCAACTGTAACACGACTAGCAGAGAGATATGATTCTAAATATAAATAAATAATACAGAATAAATAAATATTCTGTATGTTGTATATGTTTTTCCCAGGCAACTTTCCAAATAGCTTGAATAATTTATGGTTTGATTTGAATACTTTGCAATAGTTTGGAAATATTTCGTAAATATGTAAATATGTAAATATTTCGTCTCTTACTTTGTGAAAGTCTGAAAAAGCAAGGGTCAACCAGCAAAGACAAAATCAAACAGTAAAAACCTCATATTTGAGAAAAGAAGATATGTTTTAATATCTAACTGGGCCATTTACAAAATAATAAAGACAATCACTGAAACATTTGTTCCCATGGCCATCTGAGAATAATCCCTCAATAAATAACTATGGACACTTAGGAAAAAAAGCTTAGATATAATAATACTGCATAATTTAATAGGACAAATAGCTGTAGAGCAATTTCATTTTAAAATAGAAAAAAACTAAAATGATATCTCAGCTATCCAGAAACTTCAGAAAATGTGTTGGTCTGGATAGCTGAGGGTTTATAAATTTTAAATAGCAACGTTTTTTTTAGCTTAGTTCTTTTGTATAGAAATGTTTTGAAGATGTATTATACACTTTGCTGCCTTCATAAAGGGAATCTACTAAAAATACATCTTTGCTGATTCACATAATTATCATGAACATCAAAGACTGTGCTGCTCTCTCAAGCCACCAAGGTCCTCAGGGCATACTTGAGGTGTGTCTATTTGTTTCTTTAAATACACCAGAACTACTCTGTGTTTAAAGTTCTTTTTCATCTTAAAAATTTCATGTTTAAATTATTATTTTATTATATCCAATGATATAATCAGCACATGGTCACGACAGAATATTTTGAAAAGTAGAAAGTAAAAATCACCCATAATACCATGACATAGCCACAAATCCTGTTAATATTTTGACATATTTCATTCTGATTTCTTTTTAGAAACTATATACATATATTTTACTTAGCCAAGATCAATTATAACCAGTTTTGTATCCTGTGCTTTTGCTTTGTAAGATGTTACCTGCTTTGTGAATTAGTTCATCTCCTCTACTGGAGTCAGCATATTAGCTATCATTTCTTATTGCTGCCAGTGGGTCTTTACATAACCGTCCCTCTCCCAATCCTACTATGCTGTTTCCCAATTGCTGGGGGATGAAAAACCAGAAAACCCAATTTCACAGAACTGTGTCTAACAGAAGAATAAATAGATTTGAGCGAGGGACTGGGAAAGCTGTCTTCAGATGAAAGTCCATGTGCTATTGTTTAGGGACTTGATCACATTCCTTTTGCCTATTCAGAGATCTTCTTGTTTTTGCTTACTTTCAGGCTTATGGCCCTGTTTTGAAGAGACAGACGCCATTTCCAGGTAGGCATGATTGCTGGAATAGCTGAATTTCAGAGAAGTGAAGTGTTACTGTACTGCAATGCCAATTAATACCGTAAATTGAATGCATGAGTCTGATCTACCATCTTTCTGGTACACAGATAAGCAAGGACCCACTCCAATTCATTCTTGCTGAATAAGCAGCGAAAATCTACATCATCTCTCTTCAGAAGAATGAATTGCTTACACATCTGTGTTCCTACACCACCATGTATTCACTTCAGTATTAAATCATATTGTATTACACTAGGTGGAAGCAAGTAAAATGAACATTGTTTTGTAGATCAAAAATTGACATTCATATGGCTCAGCCTAATGGTTAATTTCATGTGTCTCTCTTGTCCACACTAGATAGTAAGTACCCTTGGGGGAAGGTCCATCTTGGTGCCCTAAAGGTCTGGCTATAATAAATACTGAAAATATTTCTTTGAAGAATGTGAAAAATAGGTAGATTGATCTAGATTTGGATATCTAGATCGATCTATCTATCTATCTACCTGTCTATCTAAAAACCAGCAATTACAGGTTTTATGCTGACTTGACCCAGGTAAATGATGCTTTGTACCTGGTAAGTAATAAAGAATTCTCATTTCACTTCGTTTATTTTTCTTTTTTTAAGATAATGCAGTGGATCAACTTTATTCCCCCTTCTAATTGCTTTGGAAATGAGCTAGATCCATATTTTTCAAGGCTAATAGGTCTCAAAAATATAATGTGGGGACTTCCCTGGTGGCGCAGTGGTTAAGAATCCACCTGCCAATGCAGGGGACATGGGTTCGATCCCTGGTCTGGGAAGATCCCACATGCCGCAGAGCAACTAAGCCCGTGAGCCACAACTACTGAGCCCACATGCTACAGCTACTGAAGCCCGCGTGCCTAGAGCCCGTGCTCTGCAACAAGAGAAGCCACCGCAATGAGAAGCCCGCGCACTGCAACAAAGACCCAACATAGCCAAAAATAAATAAATTCATTAAAAAATATATATATATATATATATAATGTGGAGTAAAAAAGAAAAGTGACAGAAAAACAGAGTATCGAACCATTTGTGCAAACTTCAAAGCACCCCGAGTACTATAGAGGTTTCCCTCGCTGTCTGAAAGTAGAGCTTTTCTACGAAAATTTTCCTAAGCCAAAATGGCAAAAAGCGAAAAAGCAGTTACCTTAGGACTCACCTTGCTAACAGATGCAGAAAAATAAATTGAAATGAAGCACAGGTGCTCACAGACAGTTCAAAGCTATGCCGGCTTGAAGCTGAGATGCTGCAGGTAGTTTCTGGGGAAGGAGCTTTGGCAGGGCCACTCCTGCTGCTGGGGTGAGCACTGCTTGTATAATGACGCCGCAAAACAAGAGGTGAACGCTGTTTTCGATTTTCATCTTTTACCGTAAAAGTGAAAATCCTCTTTGATTTCTTATGGTTAGGAAAAACAGGTGCTAATGTAGGTGTTTCATGAAAGTAAAGTGGCATAAGACAAACTTTTGTTTGTTTTGTTTTTGTTTTTTTGCGGTACGCGGGCCTCTCACCGTTGTGGCCTCTCCCGTTGCGGAGCACAGGCTCTGGACGCGCAGGCTCAGCGGCCACGGCTCACAGGCCCAGCCGCTCCGCGGCATGTGGGATCCTCCCGGACCGGGGCACGAACCCGCGTCCCCTGCATCGGCAGGCGGACTCTCAACCACTGCGCCACCAGGGAAGCCCATAAGGCAAACTTTTGAAGAGCAAGGGGCACCTGTATAGTGTTTGTGTGAAGTACCTAGGTATAGAAAGGATTGAAACATGGAGGAGATGAATAACGACCCCATGATAACTATACCTGGGCAAGAGACGGCCTGAATCTTCTTCAGAGGGGCCACACTTTCGCCTTCCTCTCGCCTAGAGCCAAGGGCTTGTACCCGCCTGAAGCTCATCCCCCTTCCCATCCTCCTGTCTCACACCAACACGCTGGGATCTGAGATCCCAGGTTTCCCTGCTCAACGGTCCTGAGCCCTCTTCCTGAGCCTGTGTGGCCTTTTCCCCAGGCCCACCTTCTGAAGAAAGGGCCTGGTAGCTGCCCTGGGGAGGAAGGGAGGGGGCAGGGGACAGGACCTGAAGGCATATGAAGGAGGCTTCAGCTGTGTCTAGGAGTGTTAGTTCTTGATAACGATATACCTAAAACACGATAACATGACACTTGCTATTTCTGGGGAAGGGTGGTATTTTTGTACTACTCTCTTTATTAATAGCCAACTTACATATAACACTTGTCATGTTTCAAGTACCGTTTTAAGCGACTTGCATAAAAAATGAAAAGGTGTTATTGCTACTCAGTTTTACGGAAAAGGCTGACTAACTTGCCCAAGTCACTCATCATAAAGAGTAGAAGGGGATTTGAACATAGCAGATCTGGCTCCAAATTCCATGATCTTAGCAACTGCTCTAGGTCTACTTGTCCAAATGCTCAGATTACTTCATTTAAAAAAAAAAAAAGGAATTAAAGTTAAAATAGCCTGACAACTGCAATACAAAGAAAAATGTAGTAAAATTCCTTAAGAAGGTTCTTAGATGTGTTAGGAGCACAGACAAGGACGGTAGACATGACTTGGGGAAGACAGCAGTTTCGGCGGTCAGGGAGGGCTCGGAGGAGGGGATGCGGACGTTCGGCCCAGGCCTTGCTGGGTAGTGGCTGCGAGGGCAGGAGAGTGAAATGCAGGAAGAGGAAACTTCTTTGTGTGGACAGGCACAGATTTAGGGAAGTTAAAGAAGGATTTGAGAATTAGCAAGTCGTGGTGTTTGGCTGTCACATGGGGGGACAACTTGGTGAGGGACATAGGTTAGTATCTTGAAAGGGAGCGTGAGAAGTGAGTATTTTATTTGGAAACCAAGGCAAGCCCTTGAAGGGAGCACCTCCGAGCTGCTCCGTGGGAAGACAACAGTGCAGCCTGGCTGGAAGGACAGCGGCCGCAGGTGAGGAGCCCCTAGGGTCACTGTGAACAAAGTTGGTGGACGAGGAGAGGAGGCCATGCCTGTGGGGGGCAGGGGAGGAGGGAGGTGTCAGGAAGCATCCAGTTGTTCCATCAATATTTATGGAGCACCTACTGTGAACCAGGCACTGTTCCAGGGGGTGGCAATATAGAAATGAACAAAACAAAACTTTCTGTCCTCGTGAAACCTGCCTTCTTAGTGGAGGAGGGGGCCCAAGTAAGAAAAATAAGTAAATTTAGTAAATAAAGGGATAAAAATATGCATATGTTAGAGGGTGATAAGCACTTTGGAGACAGATAAAACAGGGAAGGGAGCTGGGGGCTTGCCTGTGTGTGTATAGGTGTGTACCGGGGCAGGGGTGGTGGGGAGATGGCCAGGAGGGATGGGCTGAGGGCACCTTTGAGTAAAGGCCGGAGGAGTGCCGGGTGTTGAGATGATATTGAGAGTCTGAGTCTTGGGGTGGGGCCATGGTTACCCCAAAAGAGAGGGCAGAGGAGGAGCTGGGTGGGAGGAGGACGGATTGAGTCTGGGGTCCAAGGGGGCAGTCAATAATATGGACTACACCCTGGAGCTTCTGTACATACAGAAGTCGCTGCTAACCAGGTGACAGATGAGCTTCAGTAGCTGGGAAAAGGATGATAGAACAGTAAGAACTCTCATTCAGTGAGCCCCTCATGTGTGCCCATCTGCCACCAGGTGTTTTATCCTTCCTAGTACCCGGGATCCGTAGGACATCCCTGCACGGAAGACAGTATTAACTCAGCAACAAATAAGAACGACAGTAATAAGAGCTAACATGCGAAAGGGCATACTGTGCGTCGTCAGGCACTTTTCTGGCACTTTATGTGTAATAATTCATTCAATCCTCACAGCGACCCCAGGAAGGTATCAGTCTCATTTGACAGATGAGAAGACTGGGCTGGCCCGGTAAGGTACCCAGGGTCACAGCTGGTGAACCGAGGCAGGCTGGCTCCGGTCCTTGCTCTGGAAGGAGGAAAAGTCAGTCTGCGCTCTACCAGCCTCTCTACCCTCCGAGAAAAGCGAGCTAAGGGTGGAACGCTTTTCGGACGGCTGGGGTTCTGGGGAGAAGAGCTGGAGAAATTCTCAGAAGATACGTCTTGAGGGGAGAGGCTGGGCCAGGGCAGGGAGGGCGCTGTTAGGAGTGCAGGGTGAACAGCATAGCAGAAGGCTGCAGCCGCGAAGGGGCTTTTTTTTTTTTTTTTTTTCCTCTCCTTAAAGCAGGCACTCTGTTAAATTCTTACTGGCATTCCTTTGAGTCTTTTGCTCAAAGCAAAATGGTTGTTTCATTTATAGACTTATAATTAGAGAATTCATTTATTTGTGGAAGTTTTTGCTGTGAGCAATTTTTCTTGCGTTATGCGGGCCTCTCACTGTTGTGGCCTCTCCCATTTGCGGAGCACAGGCTCCGGACGCGCAGGCTCAGTGGCCATGGCTCACGGGCCCAGCCGCTCCGCGGCATGTGGGATCTTCCCGAAACGGGGCACGAACCCGCGTCTCCTGCATCGGCAGGCGGACTCTCAAGCACTGCGCCACCAGGGAAGCCCCGCGAAGGGGCTTTTAACCCGGCCCAGGGAGGGCATCCGAGTGCGGACACGGACACAGCAGCCCGGACGCGGGGCAGAGGCCAGGACGCCAGATCGCACACAGCTCTGCGGATCTCTGGGAGCGAATAAGGGAGCTAAAAACAACGATTGAAACCAACCAACAAACACCCTTTCTGGGCGATTTCAGGGCCAAGAGCGAAAGCCTTGGCTAAAGAAACCTGTAAGGGGCTGAGGTCCGTTCTCACTTTGAACTCCAGGACTCTGAACAAGACGCCTCACACCCCTGTGGGTTGCCCAGCTGCTCTTCTGAAAAAGTTGGACGCTCTCTGAGATGTCGCCAATGTCGCCATAATCTAACCCCGCGTGGTCCTAGCTCTGCAGTCGGTCCACTGCTCTGGGACCTGGCTGCCCGGCCCCAGGGGTGCGCCGGGCGGCTCTGCTCACCCCTGGGACGAGAACTGGCCGGAGGGGGGG